TACTGTTTTATTTCTGAAATTATAAAATATTTAAGATATATTATTAATTTGTGAAATTGGGTGCAATGACCAATCATAAGTAGATAAACGACTGAAAAGTTCCTTTTTTCTTACCTTTTACTCCATTAGTTTCCTGTTTTTGAGTGGATGTATTAGTCCACGCGACATCAGAATAAACAATTCTGGATTAGTTGTGTAATAACTGTTGAACTTGTAGCACTTTTTCATTTTATTCCAGAAATCATTTCTTGAAAATTTAGAGGTCGAAACTTTTAGAAGAAATAAGCATACTGGGTCAAAAAATGAAAATGAACTGCCTCTGGATTTACAAGAAATTCTTCATGAAGATTATAATAATCCCGGAAGAATCAAAAGGATCGCTGATAAGGTGTACCCTTTGTATTATAGTTCTTAAAACTGGTGGGTGAATTTTTAATTGAAGATATTATTGATTGTTTTTGAAGAACAAAACTTTTCAATATTTTCATCTGCTGGTAGACTTTTGTCGACCTGTTGTCCCAATCCACCAGGGCCACGATAAACATTGAATTCATCCCTGAAAAAAAAAGACAAATTAATTACAATGTTAAATCAGAACTTCGCAGAAAGATATTTACACAACTAACCCCAAAGGCCTCAAGCCAACGTCTAAAGGGTTGGTGCGACAAAATTTAAAAGTTAGGCATTTTATCCATTGCATTTTCTTGTTTATTGTTTTCAAAATTTGTAAAATATTCAGTAGTCAGTGTTACCTTATGAAGATACTAGCTGTGTTCTAGTGACCTAAACAGGGAATTATAGATACTGAGGGTTTTCCTATTAAAAAAAAACTAAGTTCATACAATGTAATACTACATCATCATCATCATGAGGTCGATACGCACCACCACTCTTTCCTATCCTGAACTAATTTTCGCAGTAGAACTAGAACATCCCACATCCTTAACTAGTTGCGAACAGTAGATTAGCTCAGGATAGGAATGAGTGAAGGTGCGTGTCCAAGCAGTCTTAGGACTGACGAACTTATGACCTAAGTCTACTCTAGATCTACCTCTACTTTTCTTAACTCCTGTTTCCATCTCTGTATCTCATGCCTAGATTTTTAATTATTAATTAAATTTTGAAATACCATTCAAGGACTTGAATAATAAAACAGTAAACTGTATTAACGAAACGTCTTAGGACTGACGACCTTATGATGATGATGAATTGCTAGAGCCAAGCCACTATTTTCCATCTGTCAAATAAATTATAAAATAAGTCTTTAACGAAATATATAGAAATATTTAGCAATAAACAATGTATTAAATGTCGAACTAAAAATGTACCTGTCACGTAAATATTACCTACATTTAGTAAATAATTTGTATTTGGAAATAATGACAAAAATATTTGTTAAAACTACAGTAACATTAATTATTTAAATAAGCGATAAAAACAATGTAAGTGTTGTTCAAATAATTGGAAATTTATAAAAAATAATTGAAAACGAAAAATTTGTTCGCTTGTTTCCAGGGGCCGGTTATCGAACAATGGGAATAACAAAATATAAATAAATTTATTACTTTTTCTTCTATAAATAGTTGAAAGTTGATAAGCAAGTGGTTGTTTTTTGAAACGATTTTGAAGAACGAGCTCCGAGAATGTTTTCAGGGGCTGTTTCTTATTTTTTCTTAGTGGCTTGGAGTTGTTTAATTCAAGGGTAAGTCCCTAATCAATCTGATGCGTAGAAGGTGAACATTTCATCCTGAAAACTGAGGAATGATTGTCTACCATTAGCAGACAATTTTGCAGTTTCGACTTTATTTCAAGTCATAGAAGTTTCAAATTGAACGGAATCATGAATTTACAGTGTATAAGACCAAATACACATTCTGATATTTTTTTGTCCTTATATTTCCCCGGAGATTCATATAGCGAAGTAAATTCTTGTTGTTTAAAAGTTTGAAAGTTTCTTTAAATACACTAGAAACACCTAAGAATTGTCATTTTACAAATCCTGCATTTATCAGATTTTCAAATTGACCACTTAGATTTCTGCTCTATTGTAAAGATTATAAACCTGTACCTAAACAAAATACATTGCGATCAAAACAGGCATGCATTAGAATTTATTTATGTAGGGAAAGTACGGATTTTCCGGGAGCTTTAACCGATTTTTCGGAACAGCGGAAGTTGGTAAACGCTTACGATGAGGACAAAGCAGTTTTCGTGGTAAGGAACAGGGAAGAGAGAATGTACGAGTCTACCAGATTTTTAAAGGTTAGCACCTATATCAAAATTAGTAGTTAATTTTCTCATTTGTTTGAAATTTACCACAATAAAAATGAGGAAAATTGCTACTGATCGAACTATTTACTGTCAACGCAATTTGATTTTATTTTAGGGACTACATTCAGTAGAAGCACTTGATGAAAGTTACAAAATGTCAAAAAGGATTAAGAGGAGCCCTGACGAAGTAAGTGCCCTTCTTGTTTTTTCTTTTCCGCGGTTTCGCTCGCAGAAATTAATATTGTTTATCCAAACGTAGCAACAACATTTCATCCTTAAGGGTTGATTTTTAAAAATTGCCAAAACACGTATTTGCTTAATTTCAACAACGAGCAACCTTCGGGTAAATCCGAGTACAAATAAAATATAAAATATACCCCATGGAAACGTTGTAACCTCTTTTCATTTGATTAATAATATCAAACAGCATATATACCAAGTTTCAAGTAAATTCAACCACAAAAGATGTATGTCCCAAACTAAAATTTTTTTACCCTCTCCCCCTTTTGAAGGTTGAATTTTTTAAAATGTCGAGATAGGTCTTTCAGAAATTAAATGAGAAACCATTAAAACCAAGTTTCAAGTAAATCTGACCACAAATAATATATGTTCCATTTAAAATCACGTTCCACGGGAACGGAATAAAAAAAAGTATCCGTCTGCTGGTTCTAAGGTACCACCCCACCAAATTTTCAGCCAA